AATGTTGGTTTATATGACAGTAGTGAAACATCAATAATTGATTGAACTTGAGTATGTTAACAATGGAATCCCAAACTCGGCGGTCCAATGGTAACTTGTATGTCAGGAATCTCAAATGTCCTTGGTTCTATCTGCAGCGAAGTCGCTGGTGCACAATGCTTTGTTTTCTTATACTGGGACAGTAAAATTATTTAACATTTCTTGGTTTTAAATATTTTAAGGAATCTACATACTAAATGATCTCGAACATTTTAAATTTTAAGACTGTATATTAGTTAAAATGGATCATTTCAAAGAGTGGAAGGCTATCTTCTGTCCAGAATCATAAGTGATACAAAAACATGATCAATAGAATATTGTGAAAAAAAGTCTTTTTGGTCATAACAATAAGAAATCAATTTGTCAGACATTTGTTTAAAAGTAGGTGTAGTGTAAGGCGAACAACCATGACAGTATTTCCACCCCCAAGAGTATTAATATTCATCTTTACACATTGAAACTGTTAATACATCATTTAAAACACATTTAAATATTGTTTTGCATTTATACATAGTCTGAGTACTATGCTTTCTACCAGTCCATAGGTACTAATCAACTGTACGTTTATTTCTTGTGATTGATTTTCCGAGACTTAACCTTTAATCTTTGACATAGTAATTACCGGTGTATTTTAACAGTGCTGATTTCCATTAACAAAAATCCTGGAGACAAAATGTAATAATGATAATGGTGTGTCGTGAGTAAAAATGTCACTTACAGGGGCAAGACAACTTTTGTTGAAAAAAATAAGTAACAATTTACAATGATTTATGAATTGAAGGATAACGTGTGAAGATATATCTTAAATGCACTTAAAAAAACTATGTATCTATGTTCTGAAAAAAGTCTACGTGCAGTAATTTGAATACAAAAAGTGGAAAAACTGCTTAAAAGTGCGTCATTTTCTACCAGAAGTTTTATTAACTGTACAGAAAGGATTCAAGATGGGTCTAACCAGAAAATAAAAGTTATATGACAGTCGAAACCTAACCATTAAAAAGAAATTTGAGGACAAATAACATAGTTATAACAAAAAATTTATTTTATCAATTTATAACCCTTGTTATGCAGTTATATATTTGTTTTTATCATGAATTGACCTTAGCTGGAAAGTACACTGGAAACCAAGGTACACTGACTACTTACAACTGATTGGTTTTGAACGATTTGAGTTAGAGTATAGCAACCATCCTATAATTAATTTTGTCAAACTCTTGAATTAACCTATTTAAAAAACAGTGTTCTGCGAATTGTAATAATTTGTCTATTTCTTTGTATTATTATGATCACTATCATGTTTGTAGGTATCATCACCAAGTTTTGATTTGATAATTTTGAAGAAGTGGTTTACACTGAGTCACAAAACGTCAGAAAATCTAATTTTTCTACTTATTGGGATATTACAAATATATTATTTATTTATAACTATCATGTTTGTATAAATGTATGTGTTGATCACCTGTTACAGCCTACTCACATATCTCTCTCTAAATTGAACTTTGGTCGCTTATATATATATATATATACTTGAGTCTTATCAATTGCTTTGACTTGCTTCGCTTAACCTTTATTCGATTCGATTCGGTTTGAATCCACCTCTATATGCACTTGCTCTCACACATTAGCCTTTATGTTCAAATTCACTCGGTTTGTTTGTAACTTTGTTATTTGTGCTATCCAATAATAAACTGTAATTGCCGCTTTGTATTGCCTTGTGATTTCATACGGCGTTGGAATTTATCTAATAACGATTATATTGGTGATTGATAAACGAAGCCTAATGAATTATCTCGAAGCCAAGCCACAACAAGCGAATTACCTATGACGCTGGGTAAGGATATAATGTTATATTGTCTACAAATCAGATAAACATTTGGATCAAGGAACTCTGACTCACCGCTCAGAGGGCATCATTCTTGTTGTAAGGCTAAAATGTTTTGGCTCATATCCTAGTTCGATTGTCAGCTTAAGTTATATTACATTCCCGAAAGTTGCATGAAACACTTATACAAAGCCTTCGTGCTTCCGGCGTCTCTAAAGCTTATATTATGTTATTTGAACTGATAAGCATGCAAAAAGCAATAATCAATATGAGAAATTTATAACTTTGATTTACATATCAGTTTATATTAACATTTGTATTAGCTCGAGAATACCACTTTGTTAAATCAATAAATTAATTTTAAATGTTGAAACCAAATGGGAGGTCAGTAATGCCTAATGTTTACTTGTTACCCACCAACGGCACTGAACGATGACTGAGCCACATCGAGAATTTATTGAAGTTATAAATGTTAATTACTGGGTATAGATTCACGGTTTAAATGTTGATTGTTTGTCTCAATACTTAAATGGTCCTAAGTTTGATTCTCTGCAAAGCCATGGATGCAAACTACTGGAGAGTCCTATGCTAGAAGAAAACAGCTGTTCAGTGCTTCTTAATTTTCAGTAATTGTTTGATGAGGGTCAGTGTGCAATGTACACTATTAGTTGAGATGAACAGGAAGTAGCTCAATGATTTCCCCTCTTTCCCTCTATCTATTCAACGCTCAAATAAATCAATTTACTTATTGTGTTAATATGGTATTTGTATGAACTTGTTTACAATTGATTGATCACTGGGTGATGATTAATGCCATGTATGTCAGGTCCTTGATTGTCCTCTGATTACGAATTCCAAGCATAATACGTTCATTTATGCTCATCTAGTTCTACCCGACTTAAATTGCATTATTTCGAGAATTCTTAGTTGGTAAATTAATTCGACTACTTCTAATTATCATAGTTAGTCAAATATTGAGGATGTTACGAATTGATAAAATCACTTTCTTTCATAAGTAATGGAAGTAGAACACACCGCATTGTAATATGTTTGTAAAAATATTTAGTGTATATTGCAACAAAAAAAGTGAAGGATTAATATTACATTGAAAATTATATTTTTTCAGTTAACTGTAGATAAATAACGATCTAATTGTTTAAATCTACAAAATATGTCATATTGTAGTTACCATTAAAATATTAATGTCAAGTTTCTTCAAATGTGGTGATAAAAGATATAAACAGGAACACTCTGTAATAGTATTGAGTTGGTTAGTTGTTTTTTTCTATAACTAAGAAAAACACTTAGGCAACGAATTCCGTCTGAAGGCTTTTGTTTGTTTGATGATTAGTTGATTTCGTTGAAAGTTATACACTAACAATCAAAAAAAATATTGATATGGTTTTCCAGGTTTTCCATGGTGGTCTAGCTTCAATTGACTCATGCTTTCAACTATGAAAATACTAAATCTCCACAAAACCCTTTTTGATAATTCATATAATATTGATACGTATCATTCCTCAATTGTTGTGTTCTGTTATGATCAAATTACTTATTGCAAATCATTTTTATCATACTGAATAATAATTTGTCATGAACCATTGGGTCAAATGTATCTCGTTACTTTATTAGTAAAACTGATGAACAAATGTTTTTGAGCGTGGAACAAAGACAGATTATGAGTTTCCTCTAACATATTGTTGATCAGAAAGAGAATAAAGTGAATATATATGGATTCATCACCAGGAGAAAGATTTAGAACTGTTCTTTGTTCCGAATTAGTGCAAAACACATTAGTAGTCATAAACGATAGAGATAATGAAATGTGAATCATTTCAACATTGTGGCGAATATGTTATTGTAGCTTTTTTGACTTGAAGCTTCAGATATCCAATAATATAAGTGCTCATCCTGACAGGAGTGCATAATAGTCATGGTATGCTGTAATTGTATACCATGACACTAAGTGTTTGTAGGATAATTAAATTATCCCCGAGAGGCGATCGGTAATTAAATGGAACAATCGTTCACCTATACTTTCATTCTAGGAGTTTTTCAGATGATGTTAGTTGTTAATGTCAAATTTAAATTAAGTAGTGATTTACACATTTAATAGATAAGAAATATTGGTTCAGCGAAGAGTTCTCTTTTCCGCGATTTCATTTTTAAAGCTGTACAATCTTATCTTATCATGATGAGCCATTCTTTCCCAACGATAATTTCCCTATCTATCTCCATGATGAATATTTAAGCCCTTAACAATAAAACTATTATTAGTTTCCCTGTTTCTAAAACAAAGAAATTCCGAATACCTTCGTTTATTCTACCTCACTGTTACCACATCTCACAGAAGTTTATTATTATTATTGTAATTATTATCCTGAAAAATAAGTATGTATTTGCGCTTGTACAGTTTTAAAAATGAGTTCGTGGAAAAGAGAACTCTTCACTGAACCAATCTTTCTTATTTATACACATGTTTTATCTATTTTATTTAATGAAAATCAGTGTTCACGAGCTTATAAAATTTTCTACGCCTTGGTTATAGTTAGTGTACTAAGATATTTCATCAAGTTGCAAATAAAAGTTCTTGTTTATCAATAACTGCGTTAAATAAACAAATATCTTAGGTCACATAATGTGATTAGGTAAAAAAAAATAATTATCATCCTAGTGTTAATTTTCGTCTCTCTCAGTTATACCGGGCATATAAAATACATGTGATGCAAGTGATGAGGGCAGACACACCACATTAAAATTTTGTTATCTATAACCTCTATAAACGCATTAGACCGAAATGAGACTAACAAACAATAAATATTGCTTTGTGGCTGTTCTGGGTATGAAAATCGATAACTCGGAAGGTCAACACCACTACAAGAGGGGAGAGCAAGAACAGTACAGTGGTGTTTAAATAGTAAGATGACTAACCAGTATTCTCCTAATGATGTGAAATAATAACCTCCAATTGAGTTTTACTCTAGTAGATGTTCACACACCCTAACAATTTGCGTGACTTCGATTTGCTAATTCTTTTAGGCGGCAGAACAATCAAAATAGGGGGTAGACCACATGGCTCATTAACATATATGTTAAAGACCCTCGGCAAACCAGAGATTTACTTGAAAATGAAAATATCACTTCGCCTGTCATTCAGCTGCGTCACTGTTCTCGTGTCCTCCTACTCGCATTAATTTGTTAAAATTAACTATTAGCTTAAGTATTATTAGATTGGATTGATAACTCCTGTAATTAACTGAGGATTTATAATGTCACTTCATCGTTCTTCTAATGGACCTCCACCAGCGAAACCACTTGTTGCTCTGCTTGATGGTCGGGACTGCACTATTGAAATGCCTTTACTGAAAGATGTGGCCACGGTTGCTTTCTGCGATGCTTCATCCACCAGTGAAATTCATGGAAAAGTCCTTGAAGAAGCTGTTGGAGCTTTAATGTGGCATACCATTTCTTTAACGCGCGAGGACCTTCAGAAATTCAAATCACTGAAGATTATTGTGAGGATAGGCAGGTGGGTTTATATTTTTTTGCATCTATATAGTTTGTTGAAATTCTGAATTCTTGATTCGTTGGTAATATTTTCTCTATATACACGCTAATAATTTTGCCTATAAATTAATATCTAATTTCAGCGGTTATGACAACATTGACATAAAAGCCGCTGGGGAGCTTGGGATTGCTGTTTGCAATGTTCCTGGATTTGGTGTTGAGGAGTCAGCAGATACGACACTTTGCCACATTTTGACCTTATACCGACGTACTTATTGGTTAGCAAATAGCCTGCAAATGGGTAAACGGATTAATGGACCCGAACATTTAAAGGAAGTTGCAAACGGGTCTGCTCGAATTCGACGTGATACTCTTGGGATAGTTGGTTTAGGTAAGTCATTAATGAAATTGTTTAAAACGATAAAACTACTGATTACTTTATCTATTTGTGGATTTTTAGTTCATTTAAGCACTTAGTCGTATTTGCACTGCGTAGTTCTTTATTAATTTATCAAAGATATACAAATCAACGATAACCGAAACCTGAAATGAATAAGTAACAATTTCAAAGCTCATTTAAGTGATTGTCTTCTCGTGTAGTTAAATGTATGAAAAATTGTGTTCATACTTCTCGTACATTTCATATTCTGTATTACAACACGAAGTCGAAAGGACTGGTTTTGTTCTCTAACGTCTAACGAACTTCAGTATATGAATAATGTAGAAGAATAATCAAGATTAATTCAAGTTGAAGTTACTTACTCTTAGTTAATGGCGTGGAAATTAGTTTTGACTAAGACTATCCACTGAAATAAGTCTGTTTAAATATGCTATGTCCAGATTCATTGTGTTTTCATCCTTCATATGCTGAGCATTAGTATTTTTTGGTTTTTGCTTCATGCTCATTAATATTCTTAGTCTAGTTAAAAGGATTGTCACATTCGGCTAGTTTTGCCTTGGTTCGAGAAAACTTTTTCTCATTGTACCAGTGCTTTACTAGCCGGTTGTCCTCCGTTTGGTTCTAAATCATGTATTTCCAAGTGTCTTTCTAATTCTGAAATATTTCATCATCTCACTTGAATGTTGTTTCATGTTGTACGTCTGTGACTGATCTTTTTGCTACCTCATCAAACTGGTTTAATGTTTCATAGCTAACACGATTTCAACATCATTCGCTCAGTAGTCTCACGATATGTGGGGAATTTTAAAACTAGCTATAATCGAATACTCGTAATTACCTTGTCGTCTGTATTATCTGGATATGTTTTCCTATAGATCCGTATGAAGGTTTCCATATACAAGGTAACTTCGATAAACCGTTATATATATCCAGTTGATATGATTTCTCACCATAGGTTCCGAGATGAGTGCAAATCTTGAAGTAAGATGTTGTGATGGACATTTTAGACTACTTTTATCCACCTAAAATATTTGTAAGTTGTGAGTTCCTAGGTATGCATCTTCGGTCGGCGAGCTGTAGAGTGAGACCAAACATGAAGCTAAATTTTTCAGAATTTCTTTGTTTTTCTAATGGTTTGAAATCGTTACCCTGGGTTATAGGAATCAAAGTCTTTTGTAATCAGGTAGTTGTGTTCATTTTTTGACGTCTGGATTTTGAGTTTTGATATTACTTTATACTCATAATTTTTCTTCCTCCTAAATCTTCTTGAATAGAAGGTGAAGCATGTTTTCAGTAACTTCAATGTCTGACTTCAGAGCTTCAGATGATATACTGTCAGGTCCTGTTTCTTTCCCGCTTTTGATTTGTTTGGTTTCCATCTTGATTTCTTAGATCGTTGGTGGAGTGACATCTATAGGAAGGTTTGTGTGTGCTGCTTCGATGTCCGGTGGATTCAATGGGGATGGTCTATTCAAAATTTTCTCGAAGTATTCTACCTATCTGTTATTCTCTGTTCTTGAATTTCCATGATTGTCTTTCCTACTTTGTCCTTGACGAGTGTCTCCGGTTTACTATATCTCCCTGCTAGTTTCTTCGTTGTACCATATAGTTGTTTCATATCCCCTTCTCTTGCAGCTTTTTCCACCATCGTGGCTAGTTCTTGCATGTATTTCTGCTTGTCGGCTTTAATGCTCTTTTTCACTTGTTTGTTTGCTTCTGCGTATCTTGCTTGTCCCTTGACTCGTGCCGCCTAAAACCAATTTGTTGTATGCACATATATTGGAAAATCTCTCCCCATTTTCGTTTCTCTCTCCCAGTTCATGTTGTTCTATTATATATTCATGTCTGATGTCCACTTCGACTTTGGCGTTTAGATCTCCCATTAGGATAGTGAGGTCCTTTCTTGGGCACTTCACTTTGATTGATTGCAGCCTCTCATAGAACTGATCTTTATCTTCGTCATCGCTATCATTGGTGGGTGCATAAAATTCATTGTGATCCCCTCCTTTGTTTCGAATGCTTTGATGATCTTGGCTCCGTGAGATTCCCATCCTACAAGCGCATTTCGTGCTTCTTTAGATAGCATTAGAGCAACTCCTTTAGTGTGTGGAGCATTTTCCTCTTCGTGACCGGAGTACAGTAGCATTCCTTCCGTACCTAGCCTTTGTTGTCCATTTTTGGTCCAATGGGTTTCACTGATTCCAAGTACTTCCAATTTGTATCTCCTCATTTCAATTGCTATTTGACTGGTCTTCCCGGTCTTCCATGTTGTCGGAAAGTTCCATATACCTATAGAAATTGTTGCTCTGATTGTTAGAAGGGGTTTCGGCCTTGTGACTTCCGAATGATCTCTGCTTTCATCCTGAGGCGTCATCATTCTTCCTTCTACACCCAGGATAGAGTCTAAATAGTCTAATTTGTTTAGTTTTTTGGCGTTTTTTAGCAAGATTTTTCTTCTACGGAATGGGGTTGCCAACCCCATGCACAACCCTCTTCCTTTACCCGGGCTTAGGACCGGCAATAACTCTAGAAGAGCTGCAGGCGGAGTTATCATACACCTGCCACTGGGAATAACTTTCTCGTCGAGTGGATTTTCGGGGACCGATCTCCTACCAGGAGGCCCACTTATCGACTTAGAATATGCAGATGACATAGTCCTGTTTGGTGAAGACGCTGATAAAATGCAGAGTCTTCTGTTAGCACTAAGTAACAATGTCAGGATATTTGGAATTCGTTCCTCCCCTTCTAAATGTAAATTGTTGCTCCGGGACTGGCCTACGTCAACACCTGAACTAAAGCTAGGGAGTGAAGTAGTCTAACGCGTCAACAACTTCACATATCTTGGAAGTCTGATCAGCCCTAACGGGTTGGTGTCTGACGAAATCTCAGCACGGATTCAAAAAGCTCGTTTGGCTTTTGCCAACTTACGTCACATATGGCGAAGACGAGATATCCGTCTCTCAATTAAGGGACGAGTATACGGCGCAGCAGTTCGCTCTGTTCTACTTCACGGCTGCGAAACGTGGCCATTAGGAGTAGAAGATACTCGTAAGTTACTAGTATTTGATCACAGATGCCTTAGAAATATTGCTCGCATCTACTGGGATCACCGGGTAAGTAATAGTGAGGTTGGACGCAAGGTATTAGGGAATGATGGTAAATCAGTTGATGAGGTCATGATTCTTCATCGACTGAGATGGTTAGGCCACGTGTTACATATGCCTTAACACCGATTACTACGACGCGCTGTGCTGACTAGTATTGGGGATGGTTGGAAGAAAGTTAGGGTTAGACAATTTAAAACGTGACATCAGTGCTTGAAGTCACTAACTTCTAGTCTGAGCCATGTTGGTAGATGCAGACTACTTGGTTGAGGTTTGCGCGACTATCGTAACCAATGATTGAAGACTCTAGGTGACATGGCTCAGAATCGACTACAGTGGCTTAAGTGTATACAGTCTTTGTCTCCCCTTAAACCGTGGGATTAAAATTACTTTATACCTTTCTACGAACTAATTCTTTCTCCCCCCACTATATCCTTATATGCAGTCTTTCTTTTATGTATTACTACCATCGAAGTAACTGCTTCTGTGAATTTGGTGTTCATCTTGATGTGCCAATGAGTTATGACAATTTGGACCTATGCATATATGTGCCTGGTCATACGTTGTAGATGACTGACTGAACTTGAACCAATGCACATATGTACTAGGTTATCCTCAGGTTGTGACTAACTGATTAACTGCCTAATTTTTGTTGGTTTTCGATAGTTCCCATTCTGAAACCAACCGCTAATGTAAACTTTATTCAAATTAAACAATCTTCACAAATTCCGCATACAATTTCTATCTGTATTTGCCTCGATACCCACTTGTTTCAGGCATGGAAGTTCTACTTGTTCGGTGCAATACATAAACTGAAACATCACACCTCTTCCGATGAATCAAATATCTCATAGTGTTCCTAACAAACTCGTAGGCTCCAAATTTATTTGAAGAGATCAACTCAACAATAACTTGTGCATAAAAACCATGCTTATTCGGATACAGCTCATCGTAATGTCGATAGCTTGTCGTTGGGGTTATCAATCAAGCCCAGTATTTTCGTGTGAGATTTCTGTGATTCACTTACACTTAAATCTATGGGTTTACTATGGTTTGAATGGAAAATCATTCACGTTTAACCCTCATAAATTCAGAGTAGATTAGTATCTGGATATTCACCTGAACTGTAGGGTAGATTCAGTCATTTCGATACTCAGTATGGAAAATCAAATCAATCTAGCATTGCCATAAGCGCTACATTAGTTCGGTCTGTTTGTCAAGACCAAAATCTCGTCTACTTTTGAAGATTTTTCAAGGAAAAACCTAGCAAAGCTCTGTTTTCTTTGCTCTAAACTCGTGGCTTCGTACTAGCAATATTAAGGAGAAAAATATTTATTTAAACTTAGTTGAATATTCAAATACCTGAACTTTTTTAACAGCTTGATTAGTTTTGAAAGTCTCTTTGCTGATGTTATGGTGCATCATTGCATAAAAATTATTCAGCTTCGGCAACAATCATACTAACCATAACGTACTTTTTTGATAAAAAAGGGAGATAGCGTAAACATGCATAAAAATGCTTTTCGGCCTAATATTTCACCGTATTGTGGCGGAACTTTTCTGGTGGATGATTTGGTATGGCATGATTTAAAAATTTAGCCCCCAAATGCCCTGGTACGGTCGGGAGTGGGGAGAATCCGCTCTCCATCTCCAAATGCTCTCACATGGCCACGCATATATAGCCTCTGTCAGGGAAGTCCTACTCACTGCCTTCTCGTGGCGGGGGTGTTGTTTGCGAAATTGAGAGGACGAAAAGCGAATGTCCGGCGCTTTAACCGGGTTGGTGGACAAGGCGAGTCCACCTAGGGGAGTTGGAAAACCCTGATTCCAATCCAATGGTGCCCATGGGCGCCAGTATCGTAAGGGAACGAATCAATCGTTGGTCACCGGCTACTATGAGGTTGCATCTCCTTACGATGCTCCACTGCCTTGTGAATTAGACTTCTAGGTCAAAGGCTCGGGGAGTGGCCCTCTAAGAAAACCACCTGTTTCGGCACCTGGGGAGTATCATAGCTCTCACACAATTAAATGAAATGTTAATTTTTTGTATGGCGCATATATATCTGGTTCCCCTTTGTACCAATATTTATACGTTTAAATAAATAAATAAATTCAACAATACTGCTACTGAATATCTGAACGCTGAACCCTGAAAACGAGAAAGAGGACGGTAATTGTCTGAAGTCCCCCAAATGCCCTGGTACGGCCGAGAGTGGGGAGAGTCTACTTTCCCTCTCGAAATGCTCTCACATGGCCAGCGAATATATAGCCTCTGCCAGGGAAGTCCTACTCACTGCCTTCTCGTGGCGGGGGTGTTGTTTACGAAAGTGAGAGGACGAAAAGCGAATGTCCGGCGCTATAACCGGATTGGTGGACACGGAGGGTCCACCTAGGGGAGTTGGAAAACCCTGATTCCAAACCAATGGTGCCCATGGGCTCCAGTATCCTGATGGAACGAATGGCGGAAGAACCTGCTGTTGGTCAACGGCAACCATGGGACTGCATCTCCTCACGATGCTCCACTGCCTTGTGGATCAGACCTTTTGGTCAAAGGCTCGGGGTGTGGTCCCCTAAGAAAACCACCTGCTTCGGTTTGGGCACCCGGGCAGTATCACAGCCCACACACAAACAAATGAATGAAATTATGAACTCTATTGACGATATCCCTGGTCATACTAAAAGCAAGACAATTAACATTATTATTATTATTACCTTTATTATTATTATTATTATTATTATTATTATTATTATTATTATTATTATTATTATTATTATTATTATTATTATTATTATTATTATTATTATTATTACTTACCATATCGCTAATTCACCCCCTTTTATCCCCAATTTGTGTAACCTTACTCTTCAACTTATGCAGCAGCTCGCTCTTGGTGGAAAATCTGTCCTATCTAAACGATCTCCAGTCACTGTCTGGTTGAAAGTGAATGCTTCCACCGATTATGAATACTGAGGCAGTCTTTCTGAAACCACGTACGCCGTTCAAGCTGGCTTCCTTGAGGTCAGTGTATGACATGGTGTCGTGGCATGAAAGAGAGCTGCAAAGGGCTAGCTTCTGTTGGTCCTTCACGACTCCCTGGTTGGGGTCCGAGAGATGGTGCAACACAGTGGCTAGAGACGTTATCGGATATGGCTCAGAATAGAAGCCAGTGGCGATCCTGCTGCAACCTTCTTTTACTTTCTACATAAAGAATGGTTCTAACTTTCCTAACTGAAAGAATCTTCTGGTTGTACATTTCAGCCCGCCTTATCTTTTCATCCTTTATCTACCTACTTTCATTATTTTGTGTGGCGCATATGTACCTGGTGCCCTTTTGTACCAATATATATGTGTTTAAATAAATAAATAAAAAATAATTGTCTGAAGTAGTCATATGTTTGATTGCAGATAATGGTAGACGTGTTGGGTACCTGGATTTTGTAAGGATGCTTAGCTGGACGTTTTCAGCTAAAAGTATCTGTTGACATTAACAAGGTCAGGAAAATTATCGATCGTCCGCTAAGCTAAACTCCACGTGGTAGGGTCGTGAGACCAATTTTATGTTCCCACCCAGAAGACAGAGTTAATCGTCAGTTAACATTTCTATTAGATCAGGGTGCCGTATGGTGAATATAGATAATCAATTTTACTCTCCAATCGTCTTTATCCTCATTTCATGTCGTCTTGGAAAAAAAGATTCTGAAATTCAATATTTGGTAAAATCCCCATTCGTCATTAGCTTTTCTGAAGCTAGTCGGTGTGGTTTTGAGAATGTAGATTGTCTTGTTGTAGAGATTAGGTGTACAGCATTACTGGCTAGATATGTTAATTTCATTATTGCTTGGGTAGGTTCGGGGTATTTGTTGAGTATTGATTGAAAGTACGAATCCACTATATACGTGAATGTAACTGAATGTAAGGTACAACCGGATAATGTTATGCTGCCAATCTTATTTCGCATTATGCCGCTTAATACATGGTTATCACAACTATATCTAGGCAGATCAAAGAAACAAACAAATCAAGTGTACTATGTACATTTACTTATAAAACGTCTGTTACATGTCTTTTCGTACTCTTTCTCATACAATCTTTTTAAAGCCATTGGTTATCAACTGTTTTTGATGCATTGTAGTGATATTTCAGGCTTTCTATCGCTTGTTGAAATATGATAACATCTTCCTTTACATGCTTTCAGTCTTTTAAATAAATAGGAATTTTGTATTCCGTGATGACTTCCGAGTAATACATAACTTTCTAGTTATGTTACTTTTGCTATTATTTCAGTGTGAAGACACTACAATAGATGTAATCATATTTGAAGTATAAGCGTATAGTACAGAATTATTAACGTTTCACATTGTGCCTTTTCAGGGGTCTTTCTCATGATGAAGAGGACTAGTAGTTTAAATTCGTTGATAATATTTAAAGTTACTCACAATGTTGTTAATGGATTTACTGTTTTTTCCTGTTTGTTTTAAACATGTAACTTTGCACTCATTGTTCCGTTTCCACTCAAATCTTTGTAAATTTTAATATTTTTAAATAATTATTATTTTCCTTACCATTACATGATGTAATTTTCTAAATCGATGCACTATCTATAGTAGATACAATCTTGTGTGGTTGCGCGGTTTTTGTTTTGTACTGATCGTGATAACGAAAAGTTAAGCGAAAATCTGAATCGTATCAAGATTCAGATACTGACAGATCATTGCTTCAACTTTTGTTACAAATATTTGGTTCTCCATCAACTTCAATTATGTCGTTCTATAGATTCATTAACATTCACTAATTTTAGAAATAGTGAGTAGAAAAGCGAGTTGTTTAAATAAAGAAGTTATTGTCTGTGGTACGTAACGAGACTAAGTTGTTGTTTTCAAAACTATTTTTAAGTCTATATGTTTGTTGATTAATCATGTATAATCTATATTTATTGCAGTAACTATTTAACACGTGAATGGAATAATAATTGACCATCCATTTTAAGTATAAAGAATACAGATTACTAATGATGCGTTTCTTATGTTTCATTCTTGTGGCATAATGATATTTTTAGTATTGTTTTATCTATTATATCATGTGTAATCGTTCATTATTGAAGTGCATCCAGAAGTGAAATTCCCCTGTGTTAATCCTAATAATTTTTATTTGATTTATCGTTATTATTTTTGGAGGATTTCAGTTGTGTATTGTATGACTGCACATTTTATTACAACAGTTAGGATATTTACATAGGTCTAACATTTTTAGTTGTATACGTGTTAATCGGTCTATCTATCCATATCTATTTGTTTTTGCTTGCTTCTAGGTCGAGTTGGAACAGCTGTTGCATTACGAGCCCAAGCTTTTGGATTTCATGTAACATTTTACGATCCTTATCTTCCAGATGGGATCGAACGATCATTAGGTATCGAACGTGTTTACAGTCTTCAAGATCTACTATTTCAGAGTGATTGTGTCACTTTGCATTGCTCGCTTAATGAACAAAATCGCCATATGATCAATGAGCATACAATAAAGTTAATGAGACCGGGTAAGATATTTATACTATAGATGCAATGATGTTGGAATTTTCTAGCTCAGTTGAATAATCTTTGTGTTTTAGATTTCTCTGCGCTAGACAGTTTTCAAACCTTTCACTGATATTAATTAGTGTAGACAACGGCTGGCGTGAATTCAACTGGGAATACATCAGAATTCTGAATTGAAGGCATTCCAATAATGTCAGAGAACTTCTGGAATCATGACATTCAGATCAATTAGCACTTAACGGGCACATCGAATTAGACCCGATTCATCAACCCATTTGAAGGATTTCGATCGACATGGTCAGAGGTTGACAGAAGAGGACAGCCTATTTGTATACAGGGACTATAATGAAAACAACCTATGACGATAGCCAATCACAAACACGGGCAACGGAACGAACTGACTTACAACTCATGGGTTAACTAAGAAGCTCACTTCCACATGACGTATGTCCTAATGATGTGGTTTTGAACGACAATGAAAATTTCTCAATTCAACTGTCTAGTTCAGAGAACTCAACAACACCGATATTATGGATAAGACCAATTAGTACCTGTTTATATATATATATATATATATATATATATATATATATATATATAAAATTATAGATAAGATCAAAATTCAACGGTTGCATGCTGAGCGATGGAGTAAGATATTTCGTTCAGGTGACTGCTACCATTGAATGTAGATTAATTCTAAAATGTTAAATTTAAAATGTAAAAAAATTATTTTTCGTAGTACAGCGTGATGTAATCCTGATTTACAGGGTTTAGAAAAATACTAAATGTAATTAAACTAAATACAATAAATTTTCAATGGATCCTATTAAACTGACTCTATCTTTCTGTAGTATGGATATATATTTTTTATATGGAAAGCGTCGCAGTACATAACTGGTGGACTTTCTCTGTCCACCAACGCGGTTAAAGCGCCGGACATTCGCTTTTCGTCCTCTCAATTTCGCAAACAACACCCCCGCCACGAGAAGGCAGTGAGTAGGACTTCCCTGACAGAGGCTATATATGCGTGGCCATGTGAGAGCATTTGGAGATGGAGAGCGGACTCTCCCCACTCTCGACCGTACCAGGGCATTTGGGCGCGCCATCATAATATGAACAATCATTTCTTGATTGTTGTCTTGCTTTAAAAAATGATTTGTTTGTAAACCTGGATGAAAAATAACTAGTTTTGTTCATTTTGGTAACATATTAGTCAGTTTATATTTGAACACACTTTTATAATCTTGCAATATAGCAAACTCTACTGAAGTTACGTTTTTTGTATCGATCCACTCAACTACTCCTATAGAACAAGTTGCACTAGGAAATGTTTTAGGAATGTACTTTTCTTTGCTCGCGAATGCTTTCCAGCGTGTCCAAGCTAAGTAGTAGTTAAAACAATCAGTAGTTCTATCCTAGCTCATTTCGTTCAAACGGGTTTTACAGCCAGCGTGAATTAATCATATACCGTAATCTTCTATCGCCTTAGTAATTATCTGTCAAGATTAGTTAGACTCAGTATCCTACAAACCTCAAAAACAATGGCTGTTCAGATTAAAAAAGCTGTAGCTTGACGTGGTAAAGCAATACGTTCAGTCATTTTTACCTCGGTCAATTTCAGGCCGAAAAATTAAAATTCATCTTGATTTTTGGATGACCTAATTTGACTAGTTCGCATAAAGCCTTCTCATATGGATTCGGATAACTTAGATTTATCGTATTCAAATTTTATTATCGTTATTATTAGTTTCGTCGAATTGAATTAACCATCATTTCATCTTACTTTATTCATATCACTGCATACTCTACGTTGCTTTCGACTTCAGTCTATTTTTCCAATTCACAATGATCGTTTAATCAACACTTCATTGGTCAATCAAATATCTCTGGCTAGCATATTATCATTGACATTTTGCGCAAAACTACCATATGAATACTCTCATTGGTGTAAACTTAAATAATAAATCAGATAACTTACATTTGTAGTCATTGTTTTACATATTACTGATCACGTAAACACATGAAGAATTTAAATAGCAATCATTTTTTACATTACGTAAACTTCGACTAAACATTTGATCTCATTTACCATCACATAATTATTTCTCTCATCCTATGTTATCGAGATATCCTGATTATTAATCTTATAGTTTTAATTGACATTTAAATGTATACAAGTTAACAGTACATAGTAGTCACTTTAATATCAACGGTCCATCAGTCAGTCAGTCACACGCAACGTAGAACCTGAGACATGTACATCGGTTCAAGTTATCATTTATTTATTTATTTAGACACATAAATATTGGTACAAGGAAGCACCAGATAAATACGCGCCTCACAAATCTCATTCGATTTGTGTGAGGACTGTGGTACTACCCAGGTGCCCAAACTCAAGCAGGTGGTTTTCTTAGGGGACCATACCCCGAGCCTTTGACCTAAAGGTCTAGTCCACAAGGCAGTGGAGCATCGTAAGGAGATGCAGTCCCATGGTAGCCGGTAACCAACATTTGGTTCATACGCCATTCGTTCCTTCAGGATACTGGAGCCCATGGGCACCATTGGATTGGAATCAGGGTTTTCCAACTCCCCTAGGTGGACTCGCCTTGTCCACCAACCCGGTTAAAGCGCCGGACATTCGCTTTTCGTCCTCTCACTTTTGTGAACAACACCCCCGCCACGAGAAGGCAGTGAGTAGGACTTCCCTGACAGAGGCTATATATGCGTGGCCATATGAAGGCATTTGGGGGCTCAAGTTACCATATTAGTACAGCTCGATAAAATTATTTCAAAACGAATCCCAGAATGGTAGAATTGGTATCAGTATCAGTAGTATTAAAAGGGATTAGGTATAGAAAAATCAAAAAGGTGTAAGGAGATTTTAGGACTTAGATTTTACAAAGACGCGAGGAGTTAAACACCCCCACCATTACAAACGATTTTGAACTATGCCGTTCAATTTCTCCTACCATTGGTTACGGTAATCACGCGATCCTCAACCAAGTAGTCTAAATCTATTAACACAGTTCAATTCATCTGTCAATCACTTTGTAAACTGTTGCTATGTCTTGGTTTGGTCCTCCCTTAGCTTTCTTCCAGTGTCAATACCAATTATTTTATTCTGTCAACAATATCAAATCCATATGGTGTCATATTCAAAAGATGCATTTTTCTTAACCATGCTTTTAGATCAAATATTTTAAATATGTAATGCTGGAGAAACTGACTAGAAGTTATTAAAAAGAATATTCATTCAGTTCATATTCCTTTTATCTTAATAAAGTAGAAACTTTAAAAATAATTGAAATGAATGTGTTCATGAAATAAGTATTTTTGTTAATGTGTTTATTGAAATATACAAATTGTAGAAGGACTTTAGATACTTAGATTACTTAAATATTACGTGGTTAAGAATAGTTCGCAATTGCGTAGAGGTTCATTTACTCTGGGTTTTCCCTGAAATCCTGATTTTAAAACTGTTTTATACGTTTTTTATTTCGCGATTATTTTTTTTTTCGAATCATATTGTAAATGCCCAATCCTTCCTACTACTAATACTGTAATGAACGAGAACACAGATGGAGACAACCAGTGTGTTTTAATACAAAATTACAGAGTAAAGTATAAGAATCACACACTGAATACTTCATTTGCAAATTCTCATGATTTGTCCTTCACATTCTGCATGATTCTTCCAGTCCACGATTCCTTTCCATTTTCCCTCCTATTCTCTTCAACTCGATCTTAACATTCTGCCGCCCGGTTTTCCACGTCCGATTGGTCCTACATGCTATTTATGTCGAAAAACATAAGTAACACACACCACACTAATACCATTAGTACTACTACTAATGCTAATATTACTACTACTACCATTACGGATACTGGCTAATCTACTAATACTTATATGGGATTTGTTCTAATAATTTCATCTCACCGTGCTTATATGGTGTGGGAACTTGACCCGTTCCATATATTTCTCAGGTGCTTACTGAATTTCTGAACTACTTACAGTTCACTGTACCAGACTAACAAAGCGTCACAATAACTCACTTTTATTATCGGTTTAAGTTTGATGATAGACAAAGAAAAGGTGATAAAAGGGTAATTAATTTCTAAACTTAGTTATTAATACTTTACTTATTAGTCGAGTAATTACCTGAAGTTTTTTTCTTTTTAAGGTGCATTTTTAATCAATACCGCTCGAGGTGGTTTAATTGATGAGGTAGCCCTTGCTGCTGCACTTAAAGAAGGTCGAATCCGTGCTGCGGCATTGGATGTAACAGAGACAGAACCATTTGTGTGGAGTAATAGTAAGTTTTTTGCTGTATAATTTTGGTATAATTCATGTGTTGTTGAGTATTTCGCAGTTAAATTCATGTCAAAAATTATGACTGATCCAATGCTTTATATCAGTGATAGGTTTTTTGGGAATTGTGTTTTTTAATATGCCATAATAAACCGGTTGTCATATGTTGGAATAATGTAAGTAATCGACACCAAGCTATGAACTATAAGCTATTTAGTTCATTTTACGTGGTACAGATACGTGTAATCGGCTTTGAGCAGTACTTAAAGTTCACGAGATTGTGATACTACTCGGTTGTTTAAATCAAAGTGAGCGAAGCGAGGTTCAAACCTTCATCTTAGTGATTGAAATCCGAATACCCTACTCACCGAGACACTGCTTCACTTCACATTTCAACAAAGAAAACGTATTCTGTCTCTTATTTGGATGTAAATCATTCAGTGAGGTCTGAAATATTGCTGTTAAACTGTCCGGATAACGACCTACTTCCAAGTTGCCGGTTTTACTCCTGAAATGTTTATTACAATAGGTACTATCTTGAACCAGAACTAAACTATTTGATGTATTCGAATAAACAATGGTATTATGTATGTTTAAGAGAACAAAAGCGTTTCTTGCGGCCTGGACTGGAAAAGGTCGTAACCATACTAGAATCTAAGAATAAAGCGTGTAATTGTGTTCGAACTAGATTTCTGTCAACTTTGAAAATTCATCCCACTTCAAACTGATGTGAATTATGAATCCACTTAATTTAAATATTTTCTTATTATAGGTGCTTTAAAAGATGCTCCAAATCTTATTGTAACACCTCATATGGCATTTTACAGTGAATCAAGTATGCGTGAAATGCGTGAGGCAGCTGCAAATGAAATCCGAAGAGCTATTTTAAATCGTATTCCAGACTGTCTTCGAAACTGTGTCAATAAAGAATTTATGCCCAATGGTGGTTCGTCATTATTTTCTCACGGTTGTTCCAACAATAGCCTATCAAATAATATCAACAATAATCCCCTGGTTAATAACAATCATCTATCCCTTGGAGCAGGTATACCTGGTGTTAATGCTCTCAATAGCAGTGTAGCTTCAGGATTAGAAAACGCCGCACGTGGTTTACATCCAGCAGCTGCAGCTGCCGCGTTTGGTCTTTCAGCAGGTCTTTTCTCTTCTGCTGCAGGTGGAGGTTGTGGTCTTGGGGTAGGTGCTAACAGTCTCCCCTTCCCTGCTAACCTAATTGGTGGATCAGGAATAGGTCTATCAAATGCCGGTGGTGGAGGTATTCTCACCAACAGCGGTGGTCCAACAACAATCCCGGCCCTTCCTCCCCCTCCTGCCGTTGCCGCAGCCGCCGCAGCCCATCTAGCTGGCCTTCCTCCTGTCTCAGCGTATGCCAACTTCTTTCCTCCTGGATTAGCCGCTGGTTTAGGCCTTCCTCTCCCCCCTCCACACGCTGCATCTTTAGCCGGTGTAACTGGATCCTTAGGAGGTACAACCACTGGGTCTTCAACGAGTGCAGCCTCAGGCAATTGTACTAATAATTCTACTTCTGGCTCAGGAGGTCAGACAGTCAGTTCCCCTTCACCTGCAACCAGTGGTTGTATCCCTGGTGTATCCAGCAGTACTTTTGATAGCGTACATGCTAGGCTTGCTGCTGCCGCTAGTCTTGTTGCTTCGGGTCTAAATCCGAGGTGAGTATTAAAATTTATTCTCGTTACATTAATTTCGTTGTTCATTTGTAAATAGTTTACAGCTTAAAATAAAAATTTTAGCACTGAAAAAGTACTTGCAGTTTCTTGCGCTCGATACAGTTGATTGATTTTTATTGACTAAGGGGCAGAAGTTATTTACTTACTTAAGACTTACTGTCCTGTCATGTAGCAGTATGTGTGTTCTTGTATGGTATATATGTTTTATACTTTTACATCAGTGTAGTTAACATAATAAGGTGGGGATTGTTTTTGCTCGTAAAAAAGTTTGGAGTTCATATTGGTTAGCTATATGACCAAAAAGACAAATACGTGAAAGTTTCAGGATTTTAAAATTGGGTAACTTCGAAATGATTACAGCTCTGATATTGATATACATAACAGATTAGGCTATCTGCTTCAGTTATTGCGAATTAATCCACTCTATTATTGTTGATACATGGTACGTGTGTTGTTGCACCATCATTCTAATTCCATTATACTAGTTTGAAATTCATCGGAAATATGGGAGTTGGCTAGGGGAATCTTGCCACATGTATGTTGTATTTAAGCTGTATGACAAATTTTTTTTTCATGCTTTTTCTTCACGAATTTATTTTAGAACAAAAGATATATCTAGGCGATCTATTTAGTCGTCTTCTAATTTTTAACAGTAAACTGATAATAGCACATTCAGAGTAATTACTACCTATAATGAAATGTAAGAGTTTATTCTCTGTCGAATATCGATTTGATGAAAGAAATATTAATCTCTTTTCATAATATAATTTTCCGTTTTTTTTAAAGTGATGATAATTATTTATAAAAAGTACCATTGCTAGTATTTAACATGTAAATGTAGTTGACTTTGCTTTTTCCTATTTTCTCTTCCAGATCTTCATGATACTACGCTTATCAAAATTAATCAAATGGTGTAAAGTGAACAAACTATATAAATGTTTTGCTAACTTTGAACTATAAGGGGATTTGTTTTTTCCTATCCACCTACCATGCGTACGTGTATCGCATGTGTACTTCCTGCATTAATAAAATGTTGTGTTATGATTTATTTTTTTAAATTAAAAATTTATATATATCTACTCAGTGTGTTGGAATTCATTTATTTGTTTAATCAAGAACAGTTGGTTAAAAGCATTTGTTTTGGGTCGGGTGCTTAATCGAGCCGTGCCAGTTTCGAAAATTTTATAGAGATATTAGTCATAATGCGTAAATTTTGACTTACTGTCGCTGATCGTAAACGTATATATGAGCATTTTAATTCAGAAGTGGAAAACAGATGGTGGTCCAGTGTTCTGTACCTTAAAAGCAGTCACTGTAAATTGAGTGGAGTCTAACGATTGTTGTCCTAAACTTTTATTGTTTCACATATGTACCGAAGTCGGTAAACTAGTTTCATTGTTTACTGGGCAGAAGTATTGAGCATTTCATTAGATAAATTGAACTGTGCTATGGGTCTTATGGTTAGCTTTGTTAACGAAGTCGTTCTGTGAGTCCAAAATTATCCGATTTTATCATCAATAGGTAATATATTCAGTTGCAATATGTAACAAAGAAATTGTAGTCAATAAGTTAGTTTGAAAGCACCGAGATTCTTCGAAAAGTATTTTAGGTCGTTTACACTTGGAAGTGATCGTGGTTAACTGACTATCATAAATCATTTCCCATTGTCAGGATCCATGGAGTTACGACACGAAGACAACTGTATTATATTGACATTTCATACTGTTCTGAAGGATTGTATTGCTGTCCGATAGATTTCTTCAAATGATTAGTATAGCAAACACGTGTGAAAAACGTCAAAAATACTGGTGGCATTCTTCAGATATGTTTCACAGTAGTTTCATAAGCACATCCCAAGTACAGGATGAGGTTATTCAGGCGGGATTTAATTATTGTACAATTTACTCAAAGACTGGTTAACAAGGAAAAATCACTTTGAACTTTATAACCATTTGGTTTATTTTGTAATCTAAGTGTTGCTGATGAACATGCACAACCCTCGATTTTCCGTAAATTCATGAGTCAATGTAAATTTTAAGTATTTTTCCAAAAGTGAAGAGGTTATTCACTGTATATGTAAAATATGATGAGATATTTAACCTTGTGATGGATTTCGTAATTGCTCAAACCTACACATAAAAAATAGGAGACAATAATACAACGATGTACTGTGTATGGAGGCCTGCTTGAACATCTGGACTACCTGTTTCTGACATCTAGATATTTCAATACATCATTATGGCTATTAATCGCATAACCTATTCAGGTACGTTTCTGAAAAGTGTACAGCCTTTCGTCGTACAAGTTACAAAAGGCCCAATCAGAAATATCGTGGTTGCTGGCAGTATACAGAGAAAAGAATGTACATTACTTAGATGTCGATTTATTCGACTTCTAACCGGTGATCACTCAATAGTTATTGTCATGATCGACGAAGAAGTAAGAAACGGAAACTTGTTGAAATACTTTGTGATAAGAATTCTGTATTGTACTAAAAAATATGTCGAATAAAGCTAACAATAATAATAAATAAATAAGTCATCTAAGAGTATCGCAGTCAGTAATTGCGGTCTTATTTTGGTTTATTTAGCCAATCATTTGTATATATATAGGGATAATTTCTATTACCAAAGTAATTGGGAGAATTGTTTAGTAATATTGTAATCATGACTAGTGGTGCTACACTTGACATGTCCGTAACATGCTGGAGTGGCATTTTCGTTAAAAAGGAAGTTACATTTTTCATTTAGGCCAGTAAAAACGTCAGAGGACGAGACGCGCCCTTTATCATGGATAACGATGGTTTATGTAATTGTTCTCGCTTCATTTTGGTTGGTTACCAGCTACGAGGTCGACATTACGAGAGTGGAATTTATCGTCGCCGATATGGCGAAGCTATGGCCAGATAAGTAGTGAATTAGACTAATCTTCATAAACTTGAGGGATCAGCTGTCAGTTCAGTATGGTCTAACAGCCTTTCTGGCAGTTAAATTCATTTTTCGAGGCATATGTACCAACCTCATGTTTCGGTGGGGGAATCGCGGAGGCGCCAGATCTTGATGCTAAGGCTGACTGCAAAATCTCAACACACCTATATATGACCTGGTTGTCCAGATGGTGTGACCGTCGTATGTACTAAGCAGTTCCAAAAAAAATTTGCCGCCTTTCAGATTAGTTTTGTTTCTATATAATGAAGCCGTACTAACTACTACTTTTCTCTCAAGAAAGTTGTTTTGATGATGGCAGTCTTCGACCCAAAGAATCAGTGTTGGGGGTGACAAACAATATATTCCTGCAATGATGAGTTTACGTACCGTATCAGCTCCTTTGGAGATTGATCTGATTCCAGTCTCTGTTCTACCAAATTACCTTACAATGTTTTATACCCCCAACTCTTCTGAAGCACCATATTTTGTCTATGTAAAAATCAGCAGTCAACTACGAATGTTTGAAATATGGAATGGGGTGATGGGAGAGAGGAGAGAACGACGATTTGACTCATGGTATATGCTTGGATAGTTACCAACTTTCTGTTGTTTCCATCTCGTTCTATGAAAGATAAAAAGGTTGTTAACCAAGAAAATCAAGTTTCAAACCCAAAAGTATTTGGCTTTTGTGAAAATATTTATAAATTCCGTATACGTTAAAACAATTATTTTTGAAGAAGTGAGTTCTTTGTATCCATATGCTATTTGCTTAGGATATATGACAAATATCGGTAGCACTCACCATTGAATGTTTAGTACTGTTTCGTTGACGCTATGATTTGTCCTGGCTTACTTTAATTTCTCACACCTCAGGGTGAGCCATAAACAGTAAACAACACTGATCTGTACTGTCTTAGATAAATACTGATCACCATACGAAAGAATCATCAATACGCCATCCAAAAACAATGGAGGTAGTTATTGAATAACATCCAAAGTGAGAGCTACGAAAAGCCACTAAAAACTAGTAGTTACCTATAAGTCGTATCCGAAATCTAAAGTAGTCCAAAGATTCCCACTGATACTAGTGTGTGTGGGGACAGTGAAATGGTACTAAGCCCTAGCCATGCCATTTGGCATTTCGGTCACTGAATGTCAATCAGTTAGTCGATCCTAGTCAAGCTCAAGGACAACCAACGCACATCAGTTAATAGTACGTCATAGACTGACTCATGCGGTGCTAGACACTTTATCCCCTTTCTACTCATTCTTACTAACATATTTCCGTTATAACGTCCTTTGTGTTATACGGTCTTCACAGCAACCGTGACATCTTGATACGACGAAGGAGTAATTCACGTTAGGTGCTAACTGCGAAGTGTGACTTCGAAGTTGGCTAGTTCGTCACACTAATCCCGTATAACTCGAGTAGGCCCCCAGTCATTCGCCATAGATCATCTACGTTAGTGATCTACATGTTTATCAAGTTACGATGTATTGTTATTCGTTCTGGTTTGAGCATAGCAGAAGAACTGTGCATACTTTGTCCTGCTATTTTATTAGTTTGTAGCAACTCTCTTTCAACAACCATTGAATTTATCTTTAAATTTTTAACACTTGTACATGTGTAATTTACTTGTACAAATTGTGAATGATTGGGAATAACTGCTGAACCCTGTAGAGGTATGTTCAATATGGTATGCCCACTATGTTAGGTGGTTTTAAGTACAACGTTATCACGTCAACCTAATATAACGCCTGAAATACATTCTGTAAATATCCAATGTGTTTGGCCTTATTTTATTATCCTTGATTGTTGCTTATATTCCTAATTAGTCCTGAAGAATAATTATGAATCAGTGGATCAAATATTTTCTCACACGGAGTCAAGTAATATAAGCAATCATTCCTTGCGAAGTTTCACATTCCCAATGTGTTTATGTGATGTTTGTAGGAATCGATTATTCTTTTGTACTCGATATGTGCCTGATTTCGAATTCTGAATTCATTAGATTCATTTGTGCCCACCTAATTCTGTTTGACCTAAACTGAACTGCTTCTGGAATTCGTAGTTCGTATAACACTTAGAATACTTCTAATTACCAGTTTGTCCACGTTTTGATTTTTTTCTTAGATATTCCGTCTCGAATTTAGTTGAATATTTATTGTCGAGAAAAATAATTATGGGTTTTTTCACCGGGAAACTGAATCACTTTTTCTATTTTACACACTGAAGTATATTTTTAAGGCATTTATTGAATTGTTGCGTATGCCGAGAATTTGGAATAAATGACGTTTTATGAGTTCGACTAGCCTTATAATGTATTTTTGCATTTCATAAGTTGTTAAGTGTGTGTAGCGAACAATAAATCCTCAAAATAAATGACTTCGTAATTATTTTACATCAATGTTGACATCATAAGATTGATCTGAAAATGCTCAGTCAAGCATCCGCGACAGATCACTTGGTTCTGCTGTTCAGTGCATCCATTATGACAACTAGTTAGCTTAGCTTTCATAATACTCGGTACACCAACTTTTATCCACATATATTTTCATATATCATTTTGGAGATCTGGTCCTTTTTTGGCCGCTAAGCATGTGCTGAACCTCATAACAATAGTTTATACCCTGTCTAAGATAACTATAGCGGCTTGAAATATACTTAACTACTGCAATTACTTAAAACTCAATCTACTGCAGAATCTTAGTGATTTTAAAATTCAGTGAGGATAATGCTTTGGTCTGCCGATTAAAACTTAAGCTTGTGAAATAAATTGAGATTCCTAAAGCGTTATTACTTTCAGTGATGTTGCTGGTGCAACAAGAATAACAGACCTACCAGTTTGGCTTCTTTGTAAACAGAATTCCCATCAGTTATCTCCGCAGGTCTTTTGATTGTACTCAGACATTTTACAGTAAGCAACATCAATGAATGAATCACGGAAAGGTCTACTAACCTTACCTTAAACTATCTACGTATTTATTTGGGGGAGAAAAACTCCAAAAATTAAAATAGAGACTTCGTAAATCTTCGCGTCTTATTTATTTTATCGGACATTTGAAATAAACCGACATTTTTAATGTGCGACATTTCTTATCCATCGGAGTGATATTTGGTTGGTGTTCACACTTCTGGGATTGAATCCGTACCCCTTGTAATAGTAAATACAGCATACCTATTTTTTTCTCAAAAAATGATCAGAAAGCTTCCCACCTTTTAAATATGTTAGGCTAGTGAAATAACATTGAGCTCCGGATTACAACAACGAAAGAAAAGCTGTAGGATTGTTATTAGGCCTTATCACCATACAAGGAAGCAAAGAAAAAATTCAAGATACAATATCAGATGAAGTGGTAGCAGGAAGGTTACGAAATGATCATTTAAAATTTGTCATACTACCCAAAGTTCAATATATTTTTCGGCGCTCTGTTAGTCTAATTTGAATTCGATTACAGACCGTACAATGGAGACAGAGTCTGAATAATAGAATAGGATTACTTTTAATAATTTACAAAGGAAATTTCCGAAATATATAAGATTCCGGCCTTCAAGTGTTATGCAAAACCGTGGCTAAAGCTTAAGTGAGCGAAATACACATGCCGTCTCATTTTCGAAGATATGTAGCTAGATATCGAGTATATATGTAGAGGCTGACTTATTATCATTGTAATTGGTATATATAATCCCTCCCACTAATAGTTTGCATCTATAAGATTTTAACTCAGAATGGTGCGATTACTTCAATTATATAATCATGGGTTGAAGTCACACCGTTCAAGGATTTATTATTCTAATCCAAATCGGCCTGGTGGCCAGGTTCCTCGACTTACGAGAGCGATGAAATTTTCAGCGGAGCTGTTTACCAGGACAGGTTGAGATATGAAGACTGCGTCTAGCCATGTAGTCGGTTATTTAATCCATCCATGTTACCCATCATTCAGCTTGACCTGTCACTAATCTTTTAACGTCCAGTAATCAGTATTTTCAGTGTAGGGCTATGTTTAGCTTGTTAGATGATTTTATTGTGTCCAAGTGTTTCTACACTGACCAAACTACATTATTGTAACGCACTGCGGGCATATCACATAACTATAGCTGAGTATACCAAAATCTTATCGGTCACTTTTGTGAAGCAATCTTTTGTTCCATCAGAATCATGAATAATCAACATACTGTACTGGGCCTTTTCATACTTGAAAAACGATTTTTATAATCTGTACGCATAATTTAAACCAGTTCTCTACTTTTGTCTTGTATTATCAACTCCATTGTAAGATCATCTAGGTTGATGATCTATGTCAAATGATTGGGGGCCTACTAGAGTTAGACGAGAATGGTGACGAACCAACTAACGCTGAAGTCACACTTCGCGACCAGCACCTTACGTGGATTGCCCCCATCGACGTGATAAGGGACCATGGATGCTATGGAGACTGTACAACACAGAGGACGTAATTACAAGAATATATTTGTTAAGGTACAACCACGAAAGTACAGAAGCGAAAGTACAACCACTGCCGCGTTGGCCAGTCCATGGCGTATGATTGACTGGTGCGCGTTTACTATCCTTGACCTTGATCGATGATGTGTTCGATATTCAGTGACATTTCACCGACCCTACAGTCTTTTAAAACTGCAAATTTTTCAGGTTCGTTAAGATCCACTTTTTCGTGACTCCGAACCAGCCTGGAGTACAGGATGTTTCGTACGAAGATAACTAGAGTGCAAGGGGTATGGAAGATCTCAAAATCAGGAGTTTCACGATGAACAATCTCGAATCTGTCCCTGATATCGAACTTTGTTAACAACCTGTTAAATAGAATTGGCTTGGCGGTACTGATCTATGCAGATGACGCAAAGATCTGGAGGTCCATGAAAAGTGAAAAAGATTCATTTGAGCCTAAAACGGTCCTTGTAACAATACAGGAATGAACGATAAACAATAGGTTAAAACTTGAACTTTCGAAAGGTCACGTATTGAATATTCTGCCTTATTTAACATAAAACACCAACACCCTCCATGGAAATCCGCTTCCGAATGTCAGCCAAGGGCGTGATGTCGGGGTGGTTATCACAGGGAGCTTGGACGATAGCTCAATTGACAAAGGGAATGGCGTCAACATAACCGCGACTCTTCAATTTATTCAAAGACAACTTAAGACAATTAACTCAAAGTTATTCCTAACACCGTTTAAAACGTATGCAGAGCTCCACCTTGAAGTCCACAATATGGTTGTATCCACTGTCCTCCAAAGAGACGTAGATCTCCTGAACAAGTACAGAGACGGATAGCCAATTATGCGATAGGTTTTTAACATAAATCTTACGAAAGCTAGTGCCAAACACTGATATTATCCTTGTTAGGCTACAGGAGAATAAAAGGTGATCTGATAATGGCACAAAACATGTTACTTACAAAAGACAATCCGCTTCAACACGAGCATTTTACCAAATTATCATCAACATACTGCTTGAGGAAACCCTCAGAAGATTGCAGATCAAAGAGCGAACACATAAATGGACCCTAATTATTTTTCATTAAGAGTTGCCTTCAGTTGGAATGCTATTCTAGCCGAAATGACCACATCTACTCTCATTAAATTACTTCGAGAGGAGGCTGGACAAAGATGTACTAACTAACAGCTGTTGTTATCTAGGATCTCTAGTGTCCTGAGAGAAACGTACTCACTCAAGCGACAAGATATACAAATCCATAACTAGTGCACCAACTAGAATAAATGCAGTCGAGTGGATAGACTGCCACATATTGAACACTACCAAATACTTGAAATTGTACGGAAACATTAAGAAGCTAGCGTAATGAAATCAAATACAAGCTCGTGACAAAATATTGAAGAAGACCAGCTGTAATAAGGTCTTTATATTCTCTGAGTAAAATTATTTAGCAGCCTGGAGCTGTTAGTTTGTCTCCTAATAGAAGATTAAAGAAAAATATATTGGTTTACACAAACTCATCACAGAGGTGTTGGAAGACATTGGATATTCAACAGTAGTGGTTGATTTGAGATTAGTCGGATGACGGAGTTTTGGATCATATCTGTACCCGGAGAGCGGGATCCAAATCAAGTGTATCAGCGTCTTCAAACCACATTATCTAAATATAAGGATATCTGCTCGCAGGTCAATAAGTTCAATATCCCTCCTGACTTCAAGGTATTTGTGTAGATGTCAGATGATTTATAAGCTTTAGGTAGGAACTCTGGATATTCTAGTGGGTCTTTCTGATGAGCTGTCAAAATTAGATGTATATGCTGAGAGGTAATTGTCTAATAGGTTCAAATAGTAGCTCAAGCATTACCAAGAAAGTTGCCCAGTACATGGGTGATGTTCTCGAAGAACAAAAACACAAATTGGAAGACAACTTGACGGTAAACGGACGTATGTTCTATTTATTATTTCTTTATCCTCAGTTTCTCCTGCCGCATTCCTTACCAAATTCCAGTGGGATTACGCTAAATATCCAGTCAAACAAACGTTAAGTTCACTGTATGCTATTATTTCAGAGGTATTTTCATATCGCTTTAAGCAATATTGTTTATAGCAACTTACAAAAGTAGATTCGGATTTAAAGGCAAAGTCCCAGTCATATAATAACCTTAAAGGTTGTCTTCAAAACCTAGAACGAAAGCAGACGTAATACCTATATTTTAAATTACCGTAATTCCTATAGGGGTAGTCTCTTAACACGCGAGCTTGGAGATATTGTGAAGCGAGAACAATTTATTGTTGATTCAGAATACTTAACTACTCTGGTTGTTGTTGTACCAAAGTAAGGTTTTTTGTATTTATTTATTGTCAGGAATATGTATAATGATTGGAAGTCTAATTATGAAAGAATGACAGACATGGTCGTCCCTAAATCCTCTGAGTAATTTGCGTTTCTGTTTTTGTAACCGATTAAGACTTATTTTTGAAGATCAAGATAATGGCCTGTGGACTGTTACGCTTTTCAAAAAAATGACGGATGATTTTAAAACTCAGGCTCGTGAATTTAGGTTTGTTTAAATATTCAAAATCACTTGCTAGATTTGTTGTACGTGATTTTACTTATGATGAAAAGAAAATTGAGGAAAGTAGAAATGAGCTTTCAAAACTTGAGTCCGATAAAAAACGGCAGTTTGTAAGTCGGATTATTTTGGTTTCTAATTCTGCCATATGGAATTTTTGTCATTTAATTATTTCCTCCCGAAAGTCAGTAAACTGTTCGGCTTTAAATATATCGAGCCATATGCGTTCCTTCAAACGTCATTCTAAAAACACTTCTTAAAGCGTGGTTCGAAATATTGAAGACATAACTACACTTGTTATAATGATTGTAGTAGTTGTTTACAGGCGTTTGGCAAGAAATTGTTTTGATTTTGTTCTTTCCAGTCACAAGTGATGCGTATCAGTTATTTTATTATTATTTATTTGAACACGAATATTGGTGCAAAAAAGCACCAGATATATTTGCGCCACATAAAGAACTGTCACCTCATTTAATTGTGTGATACTGCCCGGGTGCCCAAACCGAAACAGGTGGTTATCTTAAGGGGCCACATCCGGGGCCTTTGCCTCAAAGGCCTAATCCACAAGGAAGCGGAGCATCGTGAGGAGATGCAGCCCCATGGCAGCTGGTGACCGACGATTGGTTCATGCGCCATTTGTTTCCTTAGGATACTGGAACCCATGTGCACCATTGGTTTAGAATCAGGGTTTTCCAACTCCCCTAGGTGGACCCGTCGTGTCCACCAACCCGGATAAAGCGCCGGACATTCGCGTATCAATTAGTCCGAATATGACTCAATGAAGGAGAACCAAATGACAAGACTAACAGTTCGGTTTTCTGTTAATGAAAAGGCACTAACGAGAATCGCTTACAATTGTACTTTATTGAAGACCACTGAAATGGATAATAAAAAAGTTACATTTAATATGAGGTTTTCCCTGGTTTGTAAGATGGGGTTTGCACATTGTTGCATATAGTTAAGTTGTACCTTGATTGTATACATTATGATACTCTTTTTAGTTGTCTTGATTTGAATGCACAAATTTTTAAAATTCCTAACTAGGCACCTCTATTCCGCTGGTTGAAAGTTAATTTTGGTGAGGCTTTTTCCGCTATGGTTCATATTAAAGCCCTCCGTGTATTTGTTGAGTCAGTTTTAAGGTAAGTTTTATTTTCATCAAATCACCTACCACCTGTATAGTTTGCAGTTCTTTTATGTCACATTATGATCATTTTAAATGCATATGGAACCTTGTTAGACTTTTAATTTCATTTTGAAAGGTTAAGAGATGGAAAGTACCCCTGTGGTTTTCTTGTGGCACAGGTAAGCACGTGGTACTGATATTGGTAGTGATTAGATAAATCAAGGCTGTCCACTGCTGTTTATTTTTATGTAGATGTTATACAGATGACGTTGGTGTGTTCGTGATCCCATTCAATGGTTCCCAGTATACAAGTTCATTTAAGTATATGGCATCTCAAGCTACATTAGTTGCAAAAAGCATTTCCTTACCATCAACTCGGGACTAATTCTCAAATGTAAATGAAGTGGAAAAATTAAGTCTAACGTGAGTAACAAATGTAACTGTATCTAGGAGATTGGAATCCAGAATGAGTAGTAATCAGTGATGAATACTCTACTAGTTGGAATAAGGTTCAGAACTAGGATGATAGGTTTGCGGTATCCTTTAGGTCAATGGTTTTATGAACTTGACGCGGATAAGCTCGTCAAGTCTAGTGGAAAAATATCCACGATTAAGCTAAAAAGTTGTTTTATCGTGGCTCAGACAGTCCCAGTTGATATAGGTAGAAAACATATGGAGTAATTACGGTTCGTTTTTTAAATAAAGTATTTACAACACGCTTAACGGGGTTCTCATTTTATGTACGTTTTGATTGTAGTCAAGTCACTCGTAATTATGGTAAAATAAATCTGAAACAATTTAGATAATATAGACACCTTATTCGTAGTAATCACGATTTGGATTTTCAAAATAAAAGTCATACCATAACCGTGTAAAGCTTGTGCAATAACTTGAGTTACTCATGAGGGAGGTTGTAGTACGAAACGAACGTCATTAAGTGGAGTGAAATTCACATCACGTTTACAATCCTTGTGATGTCACTGTTGTGGACTATTAAGAAAAGCAGGTAAAGTATCTTACAAAGGAAAAAAGTTACTATCTAGCGAAAATACCTATCATTATATTATTTTCTAAAGCTGAACTGCAATCCTAAATTTACAAGTGAATGACACAATTCTAAAATATTATTAAATAAGGATATTTATTTTTAATATCTCAATATGTTTGCACAACCACTAAGTGTACTTTCAAAGGTGAACACCTAACCAGTGTTTTTAAATGTGACATTTCCTTTGCTTTGTATCCGCATGCACAAATAAATGGTAATCCTGCTTCATTGAATTTATTGTTACATCTAAATGCTAATTCTGAAGTAATCTTCCATCTTATTGTAGATATGGATTGCCGGTTGATTTTCAAGCAATACTCCTTGAGCCAAACAAAAAGCAGCAAAAGAAGTTAAGAGATATACTAAAGCAACTTTACAATCATCTTGATGGATCGTCCTCAAGCTCCGTCTTAGATGTAAGTATTGACATCCATTCGTATATTTATTGCTGTGGCACATAAGAGAATTGTTCGTAATTGCATATAGTTATTTATTTATTTAAACACATATATATTGGTACAAAAGGACACCAGGTACATATGCGCCACACAAAATAATGAAAGTAGGAAGAGAAGGGATGAAAAGATAAGGCGGACTGAAATGTACAATTAGAAGACTCTTTCAGTTAAGAAAGTTAGAACCATTCTTTATGTAGAAAGTAAAAGAAGGTTGCAGCAGGATCGCCACTGGCTTCTATTCTGAGCCATATCTGATAACGTCTCTAGCCACTGTGTTGCACCATTTCTCGGACCCCAGCCAGGGAGTCGTGAACGACCATCAGAAGCTAGCTCTTTGCAGCTTTCTTTCATGACACGACACCTTGTCATACACTGACCTCCTCTCCGCTTTCTCCAACCAGTCCCAGGGTCGGCAAATAATGCACGACGTGGAAGTCTCTGGGACGACATTCGTAAAACATGTCCAAGCCACCGAAGTCGGTGTTTCAAGATGGTGACACCAATTGAATTATCGTCTCTGCGCCCGAAAACACGATGCCGAACCTCTGCATTACTAACATGGTGTTGCCACTGAATGTCAGCAATCCTTCGGAGACAACGATGATCGAACACAGAGAGACGTCTAACATCCTCAACTCGGAGAGGCCAGGTTTCACAAGCATAGAGCAAAACTGCTCTCACCGACGCGTTTTAGATCCGACCTTTTACAGCCAGACTAACATCACGAAGGCGCCAAAGATGGCCCAGATTGGCATAAGCCGCTCTGGCTTTCATTATACGTGCATCAATCTCATCACTCACGCCACCACCAGCACTTATATAGCTACCTAGATACACGAACTTCTCAACTACTTCAATCTGCTCACCATCCAGGGTATGTACAGGATGAGAATCCTGCCAGTCTTGTAGGAGTACTTTGCACTTGGAGGGTGCAAAGCACATGCCGTACCTGCGGACACTGATTGCCAACTGATTAAGTGCGGATTGCATGGCTTGAGCATTATCGCACAGTAAGACAATATCATCCGCATACTCAAGGTCGAGAAGTCGTTCTCCAGGCAACATATCCACACCGCCATTACTTACATCCATCAGAGCTGTTTCCAGGATGTCGTCGATGGCAAAGTTGAAGTGGAATGGTGAGATCGGGCAACCCTGCCTAACCCCACTGCTCGAATGGAACAAGGGAGAAAGGTGGTTGTATGCCCTCACTCTGCCTGAGGTGTTCGTATACAGGGCCTTTAAAATGTTAATGAACTTCTCAGGCACACCCTTCTTCAATAGACAATCCCAGAGAACAGTCCTGTCCAACGAATCGAAGGCCGCCCTGATATCAAGAAACACTACGATTGTTGGCCTGCGATAAGTATGACGGTGTTCTAACATTTGGCGGGGGGTGAAGATGTGGTCAATGCATCCTCGACCAGAACGAAAACCAGCCTGCTCCTCGCGAGTCAATCGTTCTCGGGTTTTAAACAACCTACGAAGAATGATAGAAGCCAATAGTTTGGACGCAATCGAAAGTAGACTTATCCCCCGATAGTTATTGCAGGAACAACGTGAACCCTTTTTAAAGATAGGGACGACTATTGACTCATTCCAAGATGTTGGAACACTTTCTTGTTCCCAAACCTTTCCAAACAACACAGTCAATTCCTTAGTCAGAAGGTCACCACCATCCTTAAAAAGAGCCGGAGGTAAGTCATCTGGGCACGGTGATTTGTAACGTTTCAAGAGTTGGAGTTCCTTGCGGACTTCCGCCTCGTTTGGTAGATCAGTCGTCACCGGCCATGGGGGGCAGGACAAACTGGTTGATGTTGCCGGAGCAGCAGGCCAGTTGAACTGCCCTTCGAAGAATTCCGCCCGTCGTCCAAGACGTCGAAAGATATTAGTGATTGGCATCCCATCATCCTCGTAGATTGTTTCACTCACACCAGACTTCTTGCTGCCAGTGGCTCGGATGAGTTGGAAGAGCTTCCGGCAGTTACCAGATGCAGCTGCTGCTTCCATCTCATTAGCACGCTCCGACCACCAGGCTTCCCGGTACTTACGCAAGCTTTGCCCGATTTCATTACGTAACAGCCTTCGTTTGTGGTCAAACTCACGGTCACCCGGAGTAGACCGACGGGCTTCCATCAGTTGTAAGGAGCCAGAAGAAACCCAGTGGCTTTACTCGCCATTTTCATGGCGTCGTGAATAAGCAACCAATGCTCATCTATACTTTTCGGTGGGGTGGTAGCTAGCCTAGAGACTAGCTCCGCTCGATACTTACTTGCAACAGAAGTTGCAGCCAGTTTACTAACATCGATCCGTTGGTGGTGGTCAATCCTTGGGCCACTGAAAAGTAAGGTGAGATTGGCGCAGACCAGGGCATGATCAGATACCAGATAGGTACTCCAAAAGGAGCGGCAGTCTTGTACACAACCACGCCAGCGGTAGCTGATCGCGATGTGATCAATCTGAGTCCAGGCTTGAGATTCAGAGGGAGGACGCCAGGTGGCACACCGGCGATGACTGTGCCGGAAGTTAGTGCTGGCCAAAAACAGGTTGTGGTCTATGCACAGTTGCAGCAAACGGTCCCCGTTATCTGTCCTGCGACCAACAAGTCCCCATCGGCCACCTAAACGACTCTCTTCTGTGCCTAGACGCTCGACCTGTGCATTCAAGTCTCCGGCTAGTACTACAATATCTGTCGAACGCGCTTTCTGGAGAAGAACTGTTAACTGATGGTAAAACTCATCCTTGATTGCATCCGGGCTGCAATCTGTCGGGGCATAGGCGTAGATGACGAAAAGACACCGTTTCTCACGCCGATTTCTTCTCACTTTGATGGAACTTTCTAATCTAACAGCACATAACCGACTGTTAATGGGGATCCAATCGATTAGTGCTGCCTCAGTCTTAGCGCTTAGTGCGACACCAACGCCAGCAAGACCAGACGAAGATGCCACAGGGTCCCCGGATAAGCGCACGTGAAACAAGCTTTTCGAGGCGACAAATGGAGAGCGGATTTGTAGTACTTCACTAGAGTCTTGAATACGGGTCTCGGATAGACAACAAACATCAACATTAAGACCTTCCAAAGACATAGCCAGCCCTATCTGTTGTCTGATATGCATTAGTGTGCGAACGTTGAAGGAAGCCAGCTTGAACGGCGTACGTGGTTTCAGAAAGACTGCTTCAGTATTCATAATCGGTGGAAGCATTCACTTTCAACCAGACAGTGACTGCAGATCGTTTAGATAGGACAGATTTTCCACCATGGGCGAGCTGCTGCATAAGTTGAAAAGTAAGGTTACACAAATTGGGGATAAAAGGGGGTGAGTTAGCGATATGGTAAATAATAATAATAATAATAATAATAATAATAATAATAATGTAAATTGTCTTGCTTCTAGTATGAGCAGGAATAGTATCATCAATAGAATTCATCATTTCGTTTATTTGTATGTGGGCTGTGATACTGCCCGGGTGCCCAAACCGAAGCAGGTGGTTTTCTTAGGAGGCCACACCCCGAGCCTTCGACCTAAAGGTCTGATCCACAAGGCAGTGGAGCATCGTGAGGAGATGCAGTCCCATGGTAGCCGTTGACCAATGACAGGCTCGTCCGCCATTCGTTCCATCAGGATACTGGAGCCCATGTGCACCATTGGTTTGGATATTTTTGCATTTATAAGTGTAGTTTTGTAATGAGAGGTATAAAACACAATCCCTGTGTCTGTATAATATGTGTTCAGGTGTTATTGACAATGAAATTTTTCGAACGGGTTAAATGTTACAAACAAAATAATTGTTTGTTGCACATTTGAAAGTAAATTTTTGTGTTAGATTTCCAGTCGTAAATGACTTTTCCTCAATTAGTTGTATTTAAATAAAAGATTACTAATGAGTTTATAGGTATCGTATCAAGGTTTGACTTGATAGTTTCAAATATATTGAGCTCTGGGTAGAGAGTTAATGATAAATGAATTTTCGTTATATCTCAATGAGTAGAAAAATTGTATATATCTCTACTATTTGGGATATGACAAAAATAGACTTATTATTTTAAATAAAACGTTATAGAATAGAACCAAAACGTCTGTTCTTATTTAAATACCTCAAGGTTAATAGCCACATTATAGGAGGGCTATTAGATACGTCCTCACAAAGATATTTGAACTGAAATGTACTAAACGTAAATCTAAACAAGTACGGATCTCAAATATTCCAATCGTAGATTTTTTCATACAAAATAAGAGATGTGATTGGTTTCACTTGAGGATATATACACTATCTAGCGTATATTTTAGGAATGCACAACATATTTTTCAAGAAGAATTTCAATGATGCTTACTGAAGCCTACATCTTCAACAGAAAATCTATTATGACGTAAGAAACTAAAGTTTTCCGCAAAATAAGCGCAGAGAATCTATTTTGAGTACAATAACCTACGTCATTTTCCCCCATACAGTAGCTGTTTGTTTAAAGATAAATATGTTTACTGTTACACTTGTTCTGTTCGTAATTCCATTTGTTTACACTAATTTTTCTAAAATGTTAATTTCAATACGCACTTCTCTTTTCCTGAACTTTACTTGTCTTTGCGAATGTCTCTTTACAGGAAGATATGAATGTTGGGGGTTTCGGGGCTTCATCGGATTATTTTCCGTATGTTTCGTTTAAAGTCGAGCTAAATATGATAGATGTACGTTGATGGTCAGGAATAAACTAGTTCTGCAGCCCATTCCATTGTATTAATGTGATAATGCAATCAATAACATGAGAAAAGCATAATATACTTTAGAATTACCTCTTCTTAGCATTTCTGTCTTCTTGATTTTTTATTTTCTTCTCTATCCTTGTTAGTTAATGTTTTTACAAACACTTGATTTACTTAATCGGTATATATACCTACTAATCTGTCTTAATACATTGAAATAAAAATCATATTGTTTTCAAAATACCTTAATTATTGTCCTATTTAAATACAATTTACTGAAGAGGCAACAAGTATATTTTGCTTCCAAATTATTTTATGTAAACGAATGCAAAACAGACAAAAAAATAATAGCACTGTGTATGATTTAATTATAAATACTGGTGTATGTATAATACAGCATTATATACTGTGTGTAGAATAATTCAACCAAGAATATAATTAATGTTCTAAATTTTTTCCGTCTGAATATGATCTATGGTTATTCGTTTTCCTTGTCTAACGATAGTGATTGTCAGTTGTTCTCGGCTTTCCGTCGCAGTGTAAACTTGTTGAGCATTCGTTATAGGTAGACCATCAATGGCAACAATTACATCTCCAGCTCTTAATCCCGCTCTGTAAAATAAATAAAATTTATACTGAATCTCAGTTACTAAAAATTATTATTACAAAGCGAATTAGTAGAATAAAAGTTAAGTCGGAAGTCAAGTAACTGTGTAATGCTTCTGCCTTTTTCTTTATTGCTTTTAATATGCCTCACATTATTATACCGATTATAGTTTGTCTCTCCTCACAAATTAAAAAAATATTAGCCTCAATAATATTTCGACGTCTAACTAGACCTCGTAGATAGCAAACGCGAAAAAACCAGGCTGGTCTCAGACCTAAACGTAGATTTATCGACTGAATCTTTACCCTTCGGCAGATTCTGAAACATAGGCATAATTTTCGACGTCCGACTGAAGCTATATTCCTTGACCTTAAAGCAGCGTTCGAATCCACTGGTCATGAGGTTCTCTGGAAGAGTTTATAATTGAAAGGCGTACCAAAAGAGTACATTAACCTTGTACATACTCTCTACTCGAACACTACCAGTCGAGTCAGAGCTTATAGCGAACTGTCATCGAAATTTTTCACTTCAAGTGGTGTTTTCAGAGCTTTCCCCTTTCCTCATCTTTATTTAACCTTGTTATAAATATACTTTTAAAGGTAACACTTTCATCGTCCGACTTTTCAGGGATTGATGTTCAATCAGGAAATTGACTGGTTGACAAAATACAGAGTATTCCAACCACCTTAAGCAACAATGCATGTATGGGATGGGGTTCTCGCCTTCCAAATGTAAAGTGTCGTTTTAGCATTGGGTTGCGTGAGCGCTCGAATTAACGATAGGGAGTGAAGTTGTTGAACACACCGACCATTTCACCCATCTTGGGAGTCTCGTCAGTCCTGATGGTCTTGTGTGTGATGAAATCTCGATATGGGTTCAGAAGGCTCGTTTGGTTTGACCGACTTGCGTCACTTGTGTAGGCGATATATCCGTCTACCGAACAAAGGACGAGTTTACTGTGAACAGTTCACTCCGTCCTACTTCATGAATATTAAACATGTCCATTAAGGGTAGAGGATATTCTCAGGCTATTGGTATTCAATCATTGGTGTCCTCGAAGGAGTAGCCGTGTATTTTGGGACGACAGAGTAAGCAATAGCTGGGTTAGGAATAGGGCACTAGGTAAGGATGGCAAATCGACTGACGAGGTCGTAAAATTCTGAGGTAATTTCATCGAGATGTCTTGTGTTTTTATTTCAATATACATTTTCTTGAATTGTGTCTTCGTTGTTTGATCCTCACCATCACCATTCAAACTGTTACTGTCTCTACTGTTCGAAGATTTGACCTGACAACTTCATCTCCCTGTGCTAATGGGGTATGCTGACTTGAATCGATATACATACGTGCGAGGTTCTGTGTTTCGACTGAATAAAGCTTGTAATGCAATGGGAATAGAACTTCGTAACCATTGGTTCTTTTGGTTGAAATCCTGGTGTTGCTGCGTTGTGTAAAGTATTAATATGTATGATATTTGAGCTAGTAAATTCTACCCACAAAATATACATAAACGACGTCCACCAAATAAGTGTATGTTGTGAAACAAGGGCATTAAACTGGATCGTCGATATAAACACTTATTGAATAGGGATTCGCTATTTAAAATAAACTTATATGCAACTGACAGATAAATTCCGAGGTGTGATTATCCTTTCGTTCTTTTTTGTAAACAATTAATAGTTTGAAGCTCTGTTGAAATATGAAGTATTTAATTTAGTAGAGTAATTCCTCTTTAAAGACATTAGGGAATAATGCTCATTGCAATGAAATAGTTGGTACTACTTTAAGTGAAATCTGCTTTTTTTATTAGAAGTGGTTGGATGAGAAGCGTTATAAGTCAGTGTGATAATGGGTAATTTATGTAGTAAACAAGATTAAGACGAGTATATCGTGAGTTTATAACTGAGCGTTAATGGAAGGCTTAAATTGTACTTGCGAAATCAAATAAGAACAAGCTTTCCAAAGACACTTATAAGATATCCTTTAAATGTGTTTGTAGTTTTTTAAAGCCATTTATCAGAGTTAATAAAGGACTAGATATAAAATTATCACTTTGAGCTTTTAAAAAGTTCTGCAACATTGATTAAGAACTATATCTTCAGTGTTACTATTCGATTAAACGGTGAATTAAAGGTCAACAGAAACTATTTCGTCTGTTTATTGAGATTTGTATGGTTGTCATAAAGTTACAAAAGGAAGTCCATATTGAATTGTATTTAAAACTCAATAAAACCTACATAGAAACACAAAGATTCTATATGGAGCTGATTAGTAGCGAAGCTTTATGAAGGACCGAACGTCAACAAATAATTAGCTAGGTCCCACACAACAGAAGTTTTACAGAGAGTATGGCTTCTTGAGTATAAAAATGTTTAAAAATTTAATTTCAAAATGCAAATGTCAGGATAATCAAAATTTTTTAATTAAACCTTGGTAGTGTTAGCAAATATGTAGTTCTCAATAATGATATTCATGATAAGAAAATTGTTAATGGTTCTGAACTATTGACTTGTGAATAAATGTGATAATAATAGTTGGTACACATTCATTCTTTGGCAAGATAATTTATTTTTAATACAGGATACCCAGTGATTTTCTACAATTTATGTAACGTCATGCGAACTTACCTTTGAGCAGGGGAGTTTCTCAATACAGCATGAATCAGAACACCATTCAACTCTACAAAATGTTGTCCACCGCGAGATGCTAATTCGAAAGCCAGTTCTGGAGTAAGTGTCCGCATAACTAGGCCTAAGTATCGACGTTGAGTTCCACTTTCGGAATTGGCTGGATTGTCTGCTAAAATATATGGGTCAGTAGGCGATTTTGACGATATTGGGGAAGAGCTCCGAGTATTTGAGGATGCTTTTAGTGCTAACTGTATGAATTTTCGAACTTGATCAACAGGTATAGCAAATCCCACGCCTGTACCAGCCACCATGGCGTTAACCCCAATAACTTCACCATATAAATTCACCAGTGGACCGCCGGAGTTGCCAAACTCAATTAAAAATACAAAAAGGAAACCGTAATTAACAATTAAACTTTACAGTCCGTACGCGGGACTCGGGCTCAGGACTTTCGGTCTTGCGCGCGAACGCTTAACCTCTAGACCACTGGGTTGGCGTCCAACGGTGTTAATGTCTAACTTTAGTCGATCCATGATCTTTCGCAACCCTTTGTCTGAGGTGGATAATCATCTCCACGGACACAGATTGGACTCCGCTGGTCACGGTTCGAGTCCCCGCGTGCGAAGTCGTGGATGCGCACTGCTGATGAGTCCCACAGTAGGGCAAAACGCCGTCCAGTGACTCTAAGTTTTCGATGGTGATTTATTTAGGCTGACTCGTGGATTCAACTATTAAAATACTACAATCTTCACTAATCCCCATACTGATAATTAAACATCGGTTGGTGTGTCACCATTAAAGTTTTGTAAACAAATAGGAAAAAAACTAACTAACCTACGTTGAATTCTGGATATAAACCCACGGTGTAAAAGAACTCAAGTGATTTCAACCAGCTTTTATTGTAAAAGAATTTAGTCAACGATTCTAGCTGTTTTATAAAACTGAGTTGATACACACTCAGCAATTAGTTATGTCAGAAATACTGTATTGTTTAAGTATTTTATTTATTTAGTTGATTATGAAACGGTCCTGTGTAATAATCGTACATCAAAGGTAACTTTTTATCCTATTAGGAATATATTTCAGTTTGGATCACCAAAAATCTTTATTTTGAAGACACTATCTTAGCAGCCATCGTGAATCTAGTAACACAACTCACTAAGTACAAGTCCATATACTCGGCTTTGAACCATAACTTCAAGTATATAAGTTATCTCTGCTACCCTGTCGCCCAAACTGAACTAGCTAGAACGAGATTTGAACACGAAGCCTATTGTTTAAGAGTCAAACGGCACTGTTGTGAAAAAAGATTAAGGAAGGCATGAAAAACGATGAGAGCTAGTTTTTGAGAGACTGTTTAGCCTAATTTATAGTATGTAAATTACTAACATTCAGCTATATGCCTGTTTTATTCCATGAATCATAAGCGTTCGATTAATCTATAAATTACCGTCATATTTTCTTCTATTCCAAAATTATTGTAATTTAAATATAGTCTTTGCATCCTGATTTTTTTACTGTGGTGTAACTGTATTCTTCACATTCTTTCTGCATTGTGGTTCTCCTATTCATATACTCATTCGTGTGCCTCTTTCAGTCAGCTGAATCAAATCTAGAGTTTCTTTCCATAATAATCTCTCTTGCTAACGGATCAGCTTGCTAGAAAGTGATAAGATAATCTTTCCTCTCTGCCCTTAACGCTGTTCAATCACGAAGTCGAGCTTATGCGTTGCAGTCTCAAGCTTGTACTCGGTAACCTAGGACATCAAGGTTGCAAACTAATTTGAGACAACTCTATCTGCAAAATAAGTATAGATTAGTCAGAACAGTTTTGACCAATAAACTACCGCTCCATATAAATGTATCCAAGTACAGTTCTCACATCAGTGGAGAGAATCAAACATTTAGTGAATTCGGTACACAAGTTGATTGGAAGAAACATCTCTAAGGAAATATATAAATTTTATGTCGAAAGTTTTTCGAAGACGTAATCTTATGAAACGTTTTCGCATAGAACAGCTTAATTAATCATGATAGAAAACGAGGTTTCTAAATTAGATTAGAGGGATATGGCTAAACGTGAAAAACAGTATGTGCGTTTCGTCCTCTTTGGGACTCGTTAGCTGGATGTACTTGCATCCTAGTTGATATTCACCCCGTGACTCGAAATCGGTGCCGTTTGCTTCAAATGCTAACGCGTTGTTCACTTAGA